CTGCTTAGTACAGTGCCTGGGACATAGGTGCTGTAGCTTGTTGACTTAACAAATGCTTGTCAACTTTTATTTAAGCTTCTCTGTAATTTAACATTAAAAAAAAAAAAAGCTTAACAGGGCAGGGCCAAGAACAGTCATTGTTTGAGGCACTTCAGTGGAAATATCTCTCCAAGTTGACACACATTGGATCACGGTTACTTTTAGAGTCAAATCTTTCATCCACTTACAAATACATCCAACTTTGAACTATAAAAGGGCACAAATGTCTTTTTTAAACAACCCTAAGGAGCCCTTTTTGGTACTTGCTAATGTTGAAAGGTATATTGTGTGGTCAGCATCATGCCTGGAGGGGAAAAAAAAAATATGGTACTCCATTCAAAGACCTAGCACCAACCTAGGAAGGAAAGACGGAAGGGTACAAGTATTTATTAAGTGCCTACTATGTGCCAGGTGGAGTAGCTAGATGGAGCAATGGATAGAGTGCCAGGCCTGTAGGCAGGAAACCCTGAGTTCAAATCCAGCCTGACACTTATTAACTGTGTGACCCTGGGCAAGTCACTCCTCATCTGTGAAAGAAGAGGGAGAAGGAGAGGGCAAACTGCTACAGTATCTTTGTCAAAAACCAAAACCAAACTGGGTCATGATGAGTGAAACACAACTGAACAACCATAACAAATGTGCCGGTCACTGTGCTAAGCACTTTACAAATATTATCTCATTTTATCCTCATAATAACCCTGGGAGATAGGTGCTATTGTTGTCCCCATCTTACAGATGAAGAAACTGAAGCAAAGAGGTTAAGTGACTTGCTCGCAGACCATATATATAATATTTGGTCCAGTTCTAGCTTCCTTCTTACTTTTCCAAACATTCCTATTTCTGTTGGGGTCACAACTATTCTCCTCCAGGTTAACGTCCTTGAAGGCATTGACAATTTTCCCCACTTCCTCTCTGACCATATCCAAATACTTGACAAATCCTGTTTACTTCGTAATATTTCTTGCAGCTGTGTCCTTCTCTTCATTTGTGCGGCCATTACCTGAATGTAGACCCTCATCGTCTTTGGCTCGATCTTGGTATAGCTTCCTAATTTGGCCTTTCTGATTTGAGCCTCTCCCCTCTACAATTTATCCTCCACATAGCAAGCAAAATAATCTTCCTAAGTCACATATCTGACCATGTCACTCTACTACTCCAAACCTTCTCTGGCTCTCTGTTTCCTATAGAATAAAAATATAAACTGGTTAATGCTTTCTCTAATTTGTCTCCCATCTATCTTTTCAGCCTTATTTCACCCCATTCCCTTTCAAACACTGCAATTTAACCAAGTTAGACTGTTCTCTCTTCCTGTAACTCAGCATGCTTCCTCTGAAATTCTAAGGAAATAAAACTAAAGAAGTCATCATGTGTGAAATTATGGAAGTAAAATCTTTTGATCCCATTTACTGTACCATTAAAAACTACCTCCTTGTGTTAACATGTGGATTCCTGGCTACTGCAATCATAAGTCCAACTCAAATAAATGAAGAATATTCAGCAGAGGTTGTTGGGGTTTTCCCCCCCAACTTTTTTGATAGTTCAGTTTATTGCAATTCACCAAACATTTTTAAAATGCCTGCTACATATCATTGTTCCATATCTGCAAGTTGGGTGAAGCTGATGAATTTTAAAAAGCATATAAGGTGGGCCAATTTACTAGAAAAGCCTGAGTAAGATCTCAATTATCATTCCCAAGTAAGGCTATTACAATGGCAAAGAGGTGTAAATATGTTTTACTCAGCCAAAAGCTGCCAATATTCTTTTTTCTATGTGCTACTCACATCAAGGGATTGGGCAAGAGCTTGGACTGGGTTACTTTTAAGATCCCTTCCAACCCTTAGATTCTATGATTCAAGATAGACCCTGAGGCTCTGGGAGCATATAAGGTTTCTGGAGTCTGGTGCAGGCTTCATTGGCTCTGACTCCCCAATAGACATAACCAGTGAGATCACCCTAATGTTCATTCCATGTTAAGGGGCCAGCCATGGGTAGTATATTGGAAAAGCAAGATGTCCATTCATTAATAAATAATCCCATTCCTGAATCTATATGGCCCAACACCACCTACCAATTCACACACAACACAGGGTCGTGTTTAATATGGTGTGGGACTTGGTCTATACATGCAGACCATTTGGGCTAAATTCAGCAAAACAATCATGTCTGGGCATTCTTTGTGGGGTTCATATGTGTATCTGCTTAGAAAAAAACAAAATCCAGTGAATAGAGAGCTAGCCCCAGCATGAAGAGATTTGGGTCCATCTCTTATTTCTTTTGGTCGCTTCATTTCTCAATACTCAGGCAATTCTGTACCATAGGAGTTCTTAAGCTGGGATCCATTGCTTATTTGTTTTTTTGTGTGTGTATTGAAAACTATATTTCAACATAATTGGTTTTCTTTGTAATTAAATGTATGCTATGTTATGCATTTAACATTTTTCTGAGAAGGAATCCATGGTCTTCATTAGATTGCAAAAGAGGTCTAACACATACATACACCCCCCCCCCCGAGAATCCAAGCTTAAAAAAATGTAAGTGCAGATGGTAATGTGTATTGGGAGTTTCCTCATCAAGAAGTTCCTTGTACTGATGAGAACGCAGCTCTAGTCTCTATGTCTCAGTGGTGGTTTTATTTCAGTGTCAGTCAGATAACCTTACAAACATCCACAGCAAGTTCAGAGAACCTGGGTGTGATTTGCCACTGTGTTGTTTGGCAGCTAACCTCTCGAAACCTCAGGTTCTTCATCAGCAAAATGAGTGGGTTACATTGGATGATGTCTGAAGTCCCTTTCTACTCTAAGTCTATGATCTCTGCTCCATTTATCTTCTACATAAACCTGTATCACAGGAATCCCTAAGCATGAGTTGTTCCTGTAAGATGCTGGAGGAAAGTGAAGTATGATAGAAAGATTAGATTAAAGTAGCTAGCTAGAAAGAGAGACAGACTTCTTGCTTCTAACTTCATGGTATAACATACATCCCCTTCTCTCTATTCGCAAAACCACCACCCTAATTTGGATCCTCATTCCTTCTTGCCTGGACTATTTAATAACTTTTAAATTGGTTTCCCTGCATCCAATCTCTCTTCACTCCAATTTATCCTCTAGACAACTGTCAAAGTGATTTTTCTAAAACCCATGCCTGACAATGTCATCGCTGTATTTGATAAACCCCAGTGGTTACCTATTACCTCTAGAATCAAATAGAATCTTCTTTGCCTGGCATTTAAAGCTCGTTACAGCCTAGATTTCCCATCTTTCCAGTCCTTTTACATATTCCTTCCTTCTATGTACTCCATGGTTAAGTCATTTTTGCCATCTTCCACTTCCTCACACACACCATTCCATTTCCCATGTCCATGCCTTTGCACTGGCTTATCCGCCATGCCTGGAATGTCCTTCCTCTTCAATCAACTTCTTAGGATCCCTGGCTTCCTTCAAGCTGCAGTCTCAGTCCCAGTTCCCTTAGCTACAGGTATCATTCCTTCTAAGGTTACCTCACAACTATTCTACGTAGCTTTACCCATACATGTTGTCTCCATCATTAGCATGTAAACTCCTCAAGGACAGGGAATTTTTTTTCCTTTTTCTTTGTATTCTTTGAGTTTTGCATAATGCCTGAGTCCTAATAAATTAATAAATGCTTGGGGGTAGGGAGAGGGAGAGTGGGAGAGAGGGAGTGAGAGAAAGAGGAAGAGAGGGAAGAGAGAAAGAAAGAGAGAGAGAGAGAGAGAGAGAGAGAGAGAGAGAGAGAGAGAGAGAGAGAGAGAGAGAGAGAGAGGAGGAGGAGGAAGGAAGGAGGAGGAAGAAGAAGAGAAAGAGGAGGAGAAGGGGAGGAGGAGGAAGGGAGAGAGGGAGAAACAGAAGGAGAGAGAGGAGGGAGTAAACAAATAGATAATAGGATTCTAGAACTGGAAGGAAACTTCGAAGTCATCAAATCCAACATCCTCACTTTTTAGATGAAGATACTAAGTGCTAGGGAGATTAAATGAGTTGCCTAAAGTCACTTAGTGAGTTTGAGGCAGAGACAGGGATAGAGCCCTGACTTCTTGCCTTCCAGACCTGATTCAATTTCAATTAACATTGGCTACATGCTTAATATATACAGTAATCTGTACAAGGGCTGGTAAAAATATGAATTAAATCCAGGTTCCTGCTTTTAATTGATGCCTCTAGATATGTGCTTTCTTTAGAAAGTTTCATGAAAACAGCTGAAGTTAAAGCTGAAAGTTGCTACCATAATAAGGAAGTCCAAGCAGACTAGCGATGGGGGCAGAAAGCCAATAATCTCTCTACTGACACTATGTAAGAGTTGAGAGAAGCAGGGGTTTGTTTGTTTTAGTTGTTATTTTTTGCTGATGTTATAGGCTGGTCCATTACATATGCATATTGAAGAACTCCCACTGTGCTTGAAGGTGGGAGGAAGGAAAAGAGACAGACAGGATTTTTTTTTTTCAGAGGTGTCATACATCTTCAGGGGGTTGTTGTTCCTGGGTGGCTTTCTGAGCATGTCAGTGTTTGTGATGATCTGTTTTATGTTCATGACTTTGCTGCAGACCTGTCTGATGTTTTGGGGCAGGGAGCATTGCTGAATCCTTGGCTTCCATTTTCTCAGCCTTTGCTTGTTTTTATGGACCTGCCTGACTCAAGTTCTTGGGACTCTGACAGAGAGTAGGGAGAAGGCCCTGCCTTGGCCTCACCTCACCAAATACTGGCCATGCAGGAAGCTTTTTGGAATACAGAAGGAATCCAGAATTTTCCCATATGCCTTCTCCCTGACAGCTTTTGTTTCTTTCTCTGGACAGGCTTGTATTTTTTCCCAATAATCTTTTCTGCAAAACACATCAACTCCTTTCATTGCCTATCTCACAAGGCTGAAGTGAGGAAAAAGACTTTGCAGACTTTGAGGCTCTATATAAATGTTAAGTTGCTGCCTCTGCTGCTTCTGCTTTTATTACTCACCTAAATCAAGCTTTGATCCCATGAGGATGCAAGGAAATGTCACCCCATCTTTGATCCTGGGTGGGTCTCAAAGGCTGTAAAGAAGCTAGATTCAGATAAGAATTGTGGCTCACATGCCCAGATCAAGCAAATTACAGCTCCAGGCCTGAAAATCTTCTCCCACACTCAGTACATAAAGCCTAATTCCACCACCAGCTGCTTGCCCGCATTTTGTTGTCTTCCCAGCAGACAGAATGAGATGGCAAAACAGATCAGCTGAGGATGGTCTGCCAGCTTAACCAATGAGACGCCCTTCAGTCTGTCATCAGGGAGAAGCTTCCCACTGTTTAAAAAAAAGAGAAAGAAAGAAAAGAAAAGAAAGGAAGAAAGAATGAAAAAGAAATAAAGAAAATATGAATAACCCTCTGAAGGAAGCCATTTCACTGATACAACTACATTTGTCCCTTCCCTCCTGGCACAGGTGGTGAGATGACTTTGGATTAGATGCCAACAGGCCTGTTCATTCACCATGAAGGTCAGCAGCTTTCAAACTCTAGAGAATGGATGATTCAGATGTTTATAACCTTACCTGTAATGAGAGTTTTGTGCTTTTCATTTCCTGAGGTGTTTAATTTCTGCAGTTTCGCATAAGAACAGTCCTGAGTCTTCCTGTCATTCTTCTCCTCCTTCACAGAATCTGATCAAGGTGATTTCTTCCCAACCCCCACTTTCCAATCCCCACCTCATCAAGGATTTCTTTCCCTGTTCCCCAGTTGCTTTCTGAGTCAGTGCATTTTAAACACCCTGACTCATATAAAAGTGACTCATGGTAGTTGCTGAGAAAGGAACATTTTACATGGCAGATGCTGCATTAGGTGAGGTTGGGGGAGAAATTAGTCTTATTGTGTGTCTGTCACTGCTATTGGCCATCACAAGGAGCAGCAGGTTTGCCCACTTCTTAAAAAATATCATTATTCACAGACAAATAAAACTGCTCTAAGAAAATCAGTCACATTTCCATTTCTGTAACAGAGAGAAGAAGATTTGTGCTGAAATTAGCAGTCAAGTCATAAGGAAGGAAGCTAGGTAATAACTGATGAGCCATTCCCCATGATATGGAGTTGCATAATTCCACCAGAATATAAGGCTTTAGCAGCACTGCTGAGCTATATGATCACTAGCAACTCCCAGGAATAAATAGTCTCATTCTAATCTCTATATTATGACTAGTTTCCTTTCACAAAGCTGGCCAGTTTAGCTATCAATTTGACAGTCAATTTTTATTAGAAGAGTATATGATTCTAAGTACCTTGATTCTTCTTGACTTATTTGATCTAAATCCAACTTATCCTCTAAGTTTTACATGGGAAAGAATTTTTTAGGGAGTTTAAGGGAAAACATTCTTGCCACCATCAAAATAGAAAAGAAATGGAAATCCAGGCACTGTCATCTTTGGGCTATTTCCATAGAATCAAATGACTAGCTTGTTGGGTAGGACAGGGAGTTCTGGAAACAACTTTCTTCCCCTTCCCCAGTTTCCATCATATGCCTTGTCAAGCTCATTTCAATTTGACTCAAGCTGATATTGAGGAAGCACTTGACTTGTTCCTGGTCCTGCTTGGGTTATTGTAGGGAAAGTGATTATAGAGGAAAAAAAGACTGAATCTGCCTATCCAGAAGTACTTAGTAAGCACCTGTGAGGGATGCAAAGGCAGATCAAGAATATCTTTAAGTGCCAAACTCTTGGTTTGGCGATGGGGAGGCACTGAAGCTTCTCATGTACAGGAGTGGTCACAACATGGTCAATCTTGTACTGCAGAAATGTGAATTTGGCATCTGTGTGGAAGATGGATTAGAGAGATGAGGCACTGGAAGAAGCAGTCTAAAGATTGGCTCAGAGGCTGTAGATACAATAAGGATATAGATGACAGGGGCTCATACTAGAGTTTGCTGATGAGAAGACAGAAGAGGAGATGGATATAAGAAACACTGAGGTCGCAGAAATGAGGAGATTGGCAATTGATAGGTTATAGGATCATGAATGAAAGTAGAGAGTCAAGGATGATTCTTATGTTGTGAATCTTGGTGACTAGAGAGGTGGTGTCTTCAAAAAAATGTGACACTTTGACTTGGGGTAGGTTTTGGGAAAAAGCATGGGTTCTATTTTGGAAATGATGAATTTGAACTGCCTATGTGACATCTAGGTGGAGAAGTTTCCAGCAGGTAGTTAATGAAGTTGGCCTGGATTATTGGAAAGTGAAGAAGGCTCTATGTCTAAATTTGGGAGTTATCTGAATAAAGTTGATTGTTAAAAACGTGGGAACTAATGAGATCATCAAGGTAAAGAGTATAGAAGAAAAAGGAAGTCCAGGATAGAGCCCTGGGGCACATCCATGCAGAGGATAGAACATGTATGATAAGGACTTGCCTGAGGATGGAGGTGATGGATTAGTGGTGGGTCAAGAAAAGATTACCTACTGTGTATTCACCAGTAGGCCATCTGATACCATTACATTTAAGCTAATTGTTATGACTCTCTAAGTACCAAGTTCAATCATTTTTATGTTTCTAAAGGACCTCAAATACCATCAAAGGCCCTTTAATTTTCAGCGCCTAGAGGAGAAAGCTCCAGTAACCTCACCCTAGTTCAAGCTCTATTCTGAATGCAATCTGATGTGGTTTAAAGCATTTTACTCTGACAACTTCCATAGGCCCTCTGCCTTATCTGTGAGCAATTATAATAAATTCTTTTCTCTTCTTCTTAGTATATACAGAATTATTGAAGGCAGGAATCATGACCATCACTTATGAAGTTATTATTCTGTTGACTAAAAAAAAAGATGAAAAATAGTACAAAACAAAAATTCTTCCACCTCATTAATTTTCACAATAGTGAAGATTTAATAGAAAGGGATCTCAGAGGTCATCTAGATTGATAACCTCATTTTATAGACAAAGTCACTGAGATCCATAGATGTTAAATGACTTGACTAAGGTCACACATGGTAGCAGGTGTTATAGGTGGGATTTGAACTGAGGTCCTCTGACTCCAAAAATCCACATTTTCCCATTGTACCCTTTTTGCTACTTTTGCTAGAAGACAATATCAAAATACAATTTAAACTTTGTCAGGACCTTAAAAAGCTTCCACAAAAATTCACTGAAGAAAAGAACTCCTTAAAAAGTAGAACTAATCAAATGGAAAAAGGAGGTACAAAAGCTGGCTGAAGAAAATAATTCCTTAAAAATTAGAATGGGGCAAGTGGAAACTAATAACTCCATGAGACATCAAGAAATAATAAAACAAAATCAAAAGAATGAAAAAATAGAAGAAAATATGAAATATCTCATTAGCAAAACATCTAACCTAGAAAATAGAACCAGAAAAGGTAATTTAAGAATTATTAAACTACCTGAAAGCCATGATTAAAAAAAGAGCTTGGACTTCATATTTCAAGAAATATCAAGGAAAACTACCCCATATTTTAGAACTAGGGGGTAAAATTGAAATTGAAAGAATCCATCAACTACCTCCTAAAAGAGATCCCAAAATGAAAACTCCCAGGAATATTATAGCCAAATTCCAGAGCTCCCACTTGAAGGAGAAAGTAGTGCAAGTAGCCAGAAGAAACAATTTAAATATTATGGAGCCAAGGTCAGGATGACATAAGATTAAGCAGATTCTACAAGGATAGAAGGGCTTGGAATATAGTATTCAGGAGGACAAAAGGAGGTAGGATTACAGCCAAAAATCACCTACCCAACAAAACTGAGTGTACTCCTTCAGGAGAAAAAATAGATATTTGATGAAATAGAGGAGATTCAAGCATTCCTGATGATAAGATCAGAGCTGAAAAGAAAATTTGACTTTCAAATATAAGAGAAGCATAAAAAGGAAAGAGGAATCCATAAGAGATTCAATAAGGTTAAACTGTTTATATTCCCACATGGGAAGATGATACTTGTAACTTCTAAAAACTTAATCATTATTAGGGAAATTAGGAGTATAAATAGACAGAAGGCACAGGTGTGAGTTGAATATGATGGGCTGATACTAAAAAAATAAAACTAAAGGGTGAGAAAGAGGAATTCACTAAAAGAAGGGGGCAGTGAAAGGCAGAATGAGGTAAATTATCTCACATAAAAGAGGTACAAAAGAGCTTTTACAATGGAGGGGAAGATAGGAGAGGTGGAAGGAGAGTGCTTGAATTTCACTCTCATTGGAACTGGCATAAAGAGGGAATTGACATACACACTCAGTTGGGTATAGAAATTTATCTTTCCTTATAGGAAAGTAGGAGGGGAAAGGAATAACAAAAAGGGGGCGATGATAGGAAGGTAGATTGGAGTAGGCAGTAGTCATAATCAAAACATTTTAAGGAGAGAGAGGGTGAGAGAAGAAAGAGAGAGAGAGAGAGAGAAGTAGTGGGAGAATAGAATGGAGGGAAATAGTAATCATAGCGGAAAAAAAATTACAGCATGTTTCCCTGATAAAGCCTCCATTTCTCAAATATGTAGAGAACTGAGTGAAATTTATAAAAAATGAGTCATTTCCCAATTAATCATTGGTCAAAGTTTACAGAAAGGCAGTATTCAGATGAAGTAATCATAGCTATGTATAGTCATATGAAAAAATGCTTTAAATCGCTATTGATTAGAAAAATGCAAATTAAAATAGATCTGAGGTACCACCCCACACCTATCAGATTAGCTTATATGACAGAAAAGGACAAATGTTGAAGGGGATATTGGAAAATCGGGATACTAATGCACTGCTGGTAGAACTGTGAATCGCTTCAACCATTCTGTACAACAATTTGGAATTATGCAGAAAGGACTATAAAACTGTACATAACCTTTGACCCAGAAATACCACTACTAGGTCTGCATCCCAAAGAGATAAAAAAAAAAAGAAAAAGAACCTATACATACAAAAATATTTATAACAGCTCTTTTTGTGGTGGCAAAGAATTAGAAATCAAGAGGATGCCCATTAATTGAGGAATGGCTGAACAAGTTATGTTACAAAATTGTGACAGAATACTATTGTGGTATAAGAAATGGTGAGCAGGATGCTCTCAGAAAAACCTGGAAAGATTTACATGAACTGATACAAAATGAAATGAGCAGAAGTAGAACATTTTATACATAGTAACAGCAATATTGTAAGATGATAAACTGTGAATGGCTTAGCTATTCTCAGCAATACGATGATCCAAGACAATTCTGAAGGATTTATGATGAAAAATGCTATCCATCCCCAGACAAAGAACTTATGGAGTCTGAATGCAGATCAAATCATGCTTTTTAAAACTTTGCTTGTTTTTCTTGTTCTTTTCTTTGGTCCATATTTTCTTTCAGAACATGACTATTATATGTAAATGTTTTACACATGTGTAACCTGTATCAAATTTCTTACCTTCTCAATGAGGAGCAGGAGAGGGAGGGAAGGAGAGGACTTAGAACTCAAAATTTGAAAAAGAATGTTAAAAATTGCATGTACATGTAATTTATAAAATTATATATAAAAAAGAAGTTGCTTCCTTCTCTTCATGTATATACCAACCACCACATGATTCTACAAGTCTTATTGTCCCATTGGAGCCCTCTGTTTACTTTGGTAAGTATTCCACACCTACTATGTACAAACCTTGTGCTTGGAACTAGGAGAGATACAAGGCTTA